CCCCAAAACCCCAAAACCCCAAAACCCCGAGATGCTTTAATTAAAAGTTATGTTGCAAATTTAAAATAAATCATATAATGAGTTATTATTTAAACCAAACTCAAAATAGACTATATAAAGTTTAATTAAAATTTAAATGATGTAGAAGAATATTAACGAAATGCTCACATGCTTTTGCTGCAAAAGATTTTACAATCTAAATGAAAGAAAACCTATACTTCTTCCTTGCAGTGATGTATTTTGCCAATAATGCTACAATATCTAGAAAGATCAGGTATAAAATTAGCAAATTTAATGCCCCTTTGATGCCGGACATCTTTGTCCTATTGATCAGCCAATTATGTAGCCATTATTTCTGATAAGAAACCTAGAAAATTATCGTTTCTACCTCATCAAATGTGACGAGCATCCAGGCGAGGAATCAGACTTTTACTGTAGACACCAAAATAAATTTCTCTGTCACAAATGCTTGTTGTAAGATCCACATCAGCATTTAGTTGCTGACCCTTCAACACATTTCGATTTTGATTAAAAATTCTTGAATGAATCATTTCAATAGATGGTCCCTCTATTAAAAGAAGAAATAAGCTAAATATAGAAATTAATAGAATAAATCAATTAATTTATGAATCTGGAGAGAAATTTTTAAGTTTCAGAAATATAAAACATGATATTAAAAAATTGCAATATTTTATAGTACTCTGCTATTGATGATTAAATAAAGTAAAATCTAAGGGATAAAAATGCTTATGTTTAAAACTATGTCTTCAACTTTTCGTAATACTTTTCCTTTAACTCTTACTTTAGGCCAACTTTTAGACAAATTAATTATCATATACAAGAGTAAAAAGCAAAAAATGCCAAATTAGAAGCTGATACAATAAACAAGATACCTGAACAAGATATTGAAAAGTACCTATAATTCAGAAGACTTGTGGATCTTTAAATATTAAATAATGAAAATAAACCAGCTCATTTAAAAAGTTTATTCAAAATTAAAGGAAATACAAGACTATTATATAAGGCAACGAGGGATAAATTTAAGGCAGCTAGTTTCCATGAGAAATGTGATAACCAAGGACCGACTGTTTCTTTTATTCTAAGTGAGCACGGACAGGTATTCGGTGGCTACACATCTTTATCTTGGTCCTCTCCCCTTAATGATGAAAGAAATATAGATAGTGATGCATTCATATTTAGTTTGAGCAAAAACACTATTCATTAGCAATATCAACACTTTGATTCAGCAGTTTGCCATAAATCAGAAAGATTAATGCTATTTGGCTAAGGCTGCGATATTCGTATTTATGATAATTGCAATAATAACAGTAAAAGTTATTGTAATCTGGGGTATACATACATGCCTCCTTATGGTTTTAAGAAAGGTGATTAGTAATGTTAAAATTACTTAGCAGGAAGTTATGAATTTAAAGTTGTTGAAATAGAAGTATATTAAGTTACACTCTGATTATTGAATAAAGTTTCTGCGATATTTGTAAACGATAATCATCATAGATTTTAATTTAGTTTCCTACGATAATTTATGTAATCTAAATTGATGATGTAATAAATTATGTTAACAACTAAACTTATTACAATATATCTAGAGGGGTTTTGGGGTTTTGGGG